GCCAATCGACTGACCCGCTCTTATCGCCGGTGTGGGACTCATTGTGAGCTATGGGTCGGTTCAGTGCGAACGGACAACGCGTGTGATTCTGTCTAAACTCGTCAGGAGTCAAATCCGCGTCCACACCGACCCGTAATGTATACGAATACTTGCCGTCCAGAGCTTTCAAGTTGTGTCCGTACACTCGCAACATGTTGTCCCGGAATATCTGTTCCCTCCGACGGTCCTCTTCACGCGATTCATACGATTTGCTGAATTCGTACTTAAATTCATTGAAAGCATTCTCTAAATTCTGCTTATCGTCCAAATATTCCTTTCAAATAAAAATAGTTTACATAAACTCTATATACGAGTCAAACATAAACATGGATATTATAGTACATACTTTAAAATCATCGTATGTCTTATCAATGGTGCGAGATGATTTTAGTAATTTGCCTTGCAAGAAATCGCCAAACGGTGCGTAAGGGTTATACTTATCACCTTGGTTAATAATTTGCATTTTTAATCATAAGTTGTAGATATTGTGTAAATTATAGTTTTTGAATTAAAAAATAACAAGTTAATTTCTTATATTGTATAGTATATAAATTACCAAAATGATAATATGCAATTAATAGAATTAATCCAGCAATTAGTAGTATACCAATAACTACAAAGAAATAAACTATTGATTCAATAACCTTTCACATCTTAAAATAATATCACACACCAATAACACTACCAAAAACTTCTCTTTTCATTATCAAGTTGCTTTTGTCAAATTGTTTAATTTTTCAAGTATTTATTTGTCTAAACCAATAATAAGATGAATACTTAAAATGATTACAAACTTATATAGCAGTAATATTTAACAAAATTTATTAAACTATTTCATACATTAACCGTATTAAACACCACTTTTTAATTGAGTTATTTTCTGCAATTATACGTCTAATTAATAATACACAAAGCTCATATCATAATTTAACCAATAAACATGGTATTAAACAATAATATTAAATATTATAAGCAAATTATAACCAAATATATTTAATATTTGTATTTTGATATTGACTGCAAATATTTTGCATAGAGCTGCTGACATAGAGCTACGCTATTACTGTAATATCCTTGTCTTGTCTCTGCATTTCCACATATGTTGTAAAAAATAAAAAACTTTCTCAACATTATTGT